ACACTCTATATAATAATAAAAAAAATGTGGCTAGTATATATGTAATATCACATGAAAAATAATTTACCTACAAAATAAATAAATGTTTTTAGCCAATTGATTCAAATTAATTAATTACATATTATTTTACATAAAAACATAGATAAATTATTTGTCCGCATATATATAATTTAAAAAAAATGTGTCTAATACATACATGCAAAATAATTTACCTACAATGATTGTCAAACAAATAAAAGAAATTAAAACAAAAGAAATTAAACATATGATGGTAAGAGAAGTATAAAAAGTAGATAATTCCATAATAATAAGGCACTTATTTCTCACAATTATGGTGAATAATTAAATTCATTAACATAATTAGAGTGTTGTGGCATAATTGTAAATAGTTTGAAAATAATATGACACATCCCGACCCAGAGGATCAAGGCGTGTTGGCCGTCACGTGAGCGTGACGTAACCAAAAGTGCGACACGGAAGCAAGATATAACAGAATATGAAGGAATTCAAACCAATCTCTAGTAGAACCACCTACTAGAGTAAAAGGATGAGTTAAGGTAAACACATAAATTCAGAGCATAGGTTTAAGTGCAGTCAAGTAGGACCAAAATAGAAGTACAACACCCGCAGGTGGGTCCTACATGTAGAGCGTCTGTCAGAATGCCGGAAAAAGACCTCGAGAGCCACCAACTGCTAACTAGAACCTGGAGGGGTGCAAAACAAAGATGAGTGGGTCAGTAAAATCAAAGATTTTCCAAAACATTTCATTTAAAACATTTCTAACCCCTCATCGTAAAACCTGTATACTTTCCCAGAAAAATAGTATATAAACATATATATACACATATCATCAAAACTTAGCTCATATCCATCAACATAACATCTCAGAAATAAAATGCCACACCATGCCAAATATAATTAGAAATGCATCAATATCAATCAGGTGAAATAATAAATCAACCGGAGACCCTACAATGGTCCTGTACGGCTGATTCTAAAGCTCAACATCCTACTCAGCCGGAGTCACCACAGTGACCTATACGGCCCTGCCGGAGTCACCAACTGTGACCTGTACGACACTACACTGCACATCACTCGAAACTACGTATAGTAGTCTGTACGATGAAAGATGTATAAATACGCTCTAGTGCTTCTCTCATCAATCATCAGCGCGCATAACTAAGGTCACCCACTAGTCAGAATCACATCTAGTGATCTATACGACTAGCATGTCGGAACTCTCACATGGTCTGTACGACATCCACCTACTTGGATCCAAGACGAGCGTGCGGTGTGGTGAATAATAATATAAGCACTAACACCTAGGGTGCAGGTTATGAGCTTTCAATGCAATTCTCATAAAATAACTCATCTGAATAATATAAAAACTCACATGTGCGTCCACCGCGTTAATTAACATATATATGCATCAATTATCAAACTAAATATCTCAACATTTGCATGCATGGCAATTTAAATCATAATTTTCATATAAATGCATTTTCTAGGAAAACAGTTGTATATAGGTAATACGAAAACAAAACTGCCCACTCACTGATAAGTCGATGGGTCGTAACCCCCGCGACGTGCCTGGATGCGCTCGTCCTCGGGATAGGTGTCACCTATATGTGAAACAACTATAAAAACGTTAATTTAAACACATAACCAACAATTCGAAATAACTTCTCATACGATGCTCAATTTGGGTATATGAATATATCACATCGACCTACTCGACGTCACGGACGTCGAGAAATTTTTAAATAAATTTTTTGGTGTCGCACGCGCCCCCACGCGCCAGGGAACGCACGGACACACGCGCCCCCCACGCGTGTCATCTTCCCCAGCCAGTCGCCGGACTGGTTTTTCCGGTGGCCGGATTCCGGCGAGTTTTAAAACTTCTTGTTCTCCTTCGTTTCTCAACCATTTTCTTCGTATTTTATACCAAAATGAAGCCCTAAACATGTAGAATCACGATACACTATTTTTAAGCTCCAAAAACAACTAAATCTCACCGGAAAAATCCAAGCAAAATCGGCCAAACTCAACCCTCGTGATCCCGACGTCCAAATCCTTTAAACAAAGCACTCCGAGCTTCCTTGGGACCTCACTAAGCTCACTATAAGCTTAGAATTCCCTGAAACACAACATTTCACGTGTGCATGAACAGTGACCAAAAATGGGGGATTCGGGTTCACGTGAAATTGAAGGTTCCATGTCCTAAAACTAGCACCAATCAACTCAAAACATCACGAGGATGAAGATTCATACCTTGGTTGCTTCGATCCACTGAGTTTTGGGGGATTTTGGGTGTGAGCCGTACGTTTTGGGTGAGAGAGAGTGAGAGAGGGTCGTGAGGGAGGAGAGAGAGAGACACGGGAAAGAGGGGGAGGAAAAGGGAAATGTCCCGAGGGTGTGTGTGTGGTCTCCAAACAAACCCAACATCAAACCCTAACCATACAAATTTACAAAACCATTAATTTTAATCCATCCCAATTTAAATATATTTTTCCAAAACTTATATAAAGTTAATCCAAATAATGTCACACACACACATACCTTAATTCCCGCTATGGGTAAATCCGTCATTTCACGTCCTTAATAAGAAAATCTCGGAACGGGCTGTGACATAATAGGTATTTATTTGTTTACATAGCAGTCTACTTCAAATTTGGGTTTTATTTGGATATTTAAAATGAGATGGGTTTTTGTCAAGAGAATAAGTGTTGCATGGGTTTATATCTAAAGACATCATCAGTTTGTTCGAAAAGTTAACAATTTGATTCGATTTTGTGTTGGGATATTTCTAAAGATATTACATAGGCTTAGGGTTTTCTAGTAATTAAAAATTAGAAATTCTTTTCTCATTTTCTACTAGCGTTTCCTGTTTGATTGATAATATTTGTAACTCAGTAGATGAGAATGTTCCATTTGTCTTGGCTCTTCCTCCCTCCTCTCTCGTCTCTCAAATATCACCTACATTCTCCGGCGATTAATGGTGCTCAACCCCCTCATCATCCCCCACTCTACAACCACATGATGGTGCTTCCAACCCCTCCTTCGGCGATCACATGGTGATTGTTCTGCTATGCCACCTAATTATCATCTGTTTCACAGGGAAGGTGAAAGAAGGGTTTAAGAAAAAAATATTAATAAAATAAATACAAATTACCGTTAAGATGTACACTTGAGCTACCACATCATGTGGTACCCTATATGTAGTATAAATTATAATAAGATGGTAATAATAACATTATTGGACTAAAACAGGTAAAATGATTGAGGGGTTAAATATATGGGAACTTTAACGAAAAGCTCCCGGTATTGTTCACTTTAACGAAAAACCACATTTTTACACTAAAAAGTCAATCATAGTACTATTCACTTTACCCTTTATTTTGTCCTTATCATTAAAACTCAAAGTTTCCAAACCATTTTCATTAGTTTTCCTTAAATATATAACAAATTTTTATTGTTTTCCAATGAAGCATTATCTAGAAAATTGCTTTCCGGGAAGCGCTTTCAATTGAAATTTTAATCAAAATTCATCTAGTTCTAATAAAAGCAGTGCTTATCGAAGCATTCCAAAACGAGGCCTTGAAATTTCACTTATCACTTGCTACTTTCTTTTCATACAAATTACAGTTAGAGGGGAAAATCAAATGTGGAAACTCGGTGTGCAAGCCTAAATGATTTTAGGCAACTAAATTACAAACTCCTTGCGTCAATTACTACATTTAAACAAAACTAACTGATATGCAATATTGTGAGGGACTTTATTGGTTCTTATCATTTGGAAAGTGGAAATATAGAGAGTGAATTAGGGCCGTTCTAGACCAGCAAAAAAGATAAAGCTCCGTCTAAATGTGATTTCGGGAGGGCCATAATCACTTCTCTGAAAAAGCACGTAATAGGTGATTCTCCATAAGATCAAATTCACTTCCAACAGGTCCTTAGTTATGCAAATCAATGGGTCGGGCTAGTGTTTGAAGCTTGTTTTTAACAGTAACAGCCCTAGAACATTCAACTGCCTGAACTAACCCACTCAATTTCGTTTTTAGTTTTCCTTGTTGGGCTTGAACTTTTTTTTTGTTCACTTAATCACAATATTTACCTACCAATTCCAGCTTTTCTGTTCAAGTCTTGGCTTCCTCTTTTTTCATGTCTGTTGAATGTCTTGATATGGGAAGGGAGAGAATGAACTCATGGCCTTGAATGCAGACAATACTCTGAAGCAACTAGATTACAAGCTCCTTACATATTTCTTCACTTCAATATTCCCCTTTCCATTTCTCCTCGATCCCTCCTTTTATTATTGCAACCACTAATCTTCTCGAAGAATTTTCGCAATTCTCCCGGAAAGTGCGTAGAACTCTGGCTTGGGTGTTCACACCACCTCGTTCCATGTGTGTGCCCTCTTTGGCACTGTTACTTGTGGGTTGCTTCTTGCGGGCTTCCTTAGTTTGGTCCTTAGATTGGTGGCTGCAATTTGTTGGGTGCTCTTTGGAGGATGATCAAGTCTTTTGTTCTTCCACTTCTGGGGCGTTGCTTGGCTTGATTTCAAGCGGTTGTTGGGGTCTTGGTTTGCAGCGTCGGATACAGCCTTCTACGGTGTGTCTTATTATTTATTTATTTTCTGATTTGGGCTCAAAAATGTACTTTTGGGGTTCATTTTTGGTTGTGTGCTTATCTTGTATTTAGGCCCCTTTTTTTTTGGTAAACATATTTAGGCCTCTTTATATAATTATGTTTTATGTTTGTTGGTAATGAAGTTACTTTGTCAAAAAAAAAATCTTTTGTCGACCAGAAAAAAATCAAGATGTTGTTTAACTCTCAAATGCTCCAAAAAAGCCACCCTTCAGTGGCAGCCTAATTTGGGCAAGCATCTTATGTTTTGGATTTGGCTTTTAGATTAAGCACTTTGCAGGCTTTGTGCTTAAGAGAAAAGAACACAACAGAGATCACCCTTGTGTTTCAATTTCAACGATAACTAGAGATGTAAAAATTATTGAAAAAGCACTTCAATTAATAATTTGGTAGTTCCAAAAAACCAAGACACCTACAACATAAGTTAAGGGAACCTCAGATCCATTACAAAGAACCTAAAACTCCCAAAATGCTCACCGACTTCGGCAACTTTCAGAATCACAGCTTTTTATTGTACCAGAAGACACCTTTCTTGGCACCCTCATCGGGCTCGACGTAGATACACTCCTTCGCCTCTCTAAACATTGCCTTGTAAACCGGAGTCCCGTCAAACTGATAGTACTCGCCCAATATCGGCTTGATTGCCTTGGTCGCCTCCATTGCGTGATAGTGAGGCATGGTTGAGAACAAATGGTGCGCAACGTGAGTGTCTGTGATGTTGTGGAAAACCTTGTTCAGGATTCCGTAGTCTCTGTCAACGGTGGCCAAAGCTCCCCTAAACCAGTCCCATTCAGAGGCATCATAGTGCGGCAATGCGGGGTGGGTGTGCTGCAAGTACGTGATCAGTACCAAAAATCCATTCACCACCATTAGAGGACCTCCGTAGAAGCATATAACCCAAGCAAGTCCCTTTGCAACGGCAAGACGGTAAAGCCCATAGAAGACAGCAAGAACACCAGCATCGGACACAAATATCTGCAATCGTTCGCGATCAGAGTAGATTGGCCCATACGGATGAAAGTGGCAAGCAAATCCTTTGTAGGGCCTTCCAGAAACATTGAACGCAAGATACAAAGGCCAGCCTAGAGTGAGTTGGATGAGGAGTGTGAGGAATCTGCCTGGCGGATTGTTGAGATATTTGGCATGCCATCCAATTTCGAACTTCTGCTTGGGGACAAAGACTTCATCTCGCTCAAGGGAACCTGTGTTGGAATGGTGGCGGCGATGGCTATACTTCCATGAGAAGTACGGGACAAGGAGGCAAGAGTGGAGGATCAAACCAACAGTGTCATCCAGCCATTGATAATCACTGAAAGCATGGTGACCGCACTCATGTGCTATGACCCAAACACCGGTGAGAACACAGCCCTGAACGTACCAGAAAATCGGCCATGCCAAGAAGGATAGAGGTTGAGACAGATTCTGAATGTAGGTGGAAGCAATGTAGTAAAGGATAGAGGCAATGGTGAGGTCATAAAAGACATAGGAGAAGGAGCGGATAACAGAGCGCTGAAAACAATGAGGTGGGATGGCTTTCTTGACCTCACCGAGGCTGAACGGAGGCTTAGAGTACGGAACTCTCTTGTGGGTGTCAGCATCCGCATTTTTGCGCACAGGGGGCGCAACCATTCTTCCACCGGCACCCATTGTTCCCAAATCTGCCAAGAACAAAGAGTCAAACAGCTGAAAATAATGTAAAATTACAGATTTCAGATCTCAAATATTCCTCCCTTTAAGCACTTGAAAGTTAATAATACAGAAAAAAAAAGACAGAACAAAAGTTACTTGAAAAAATATGACCAACCAATCAAGATTTATAATATATTGCAGTTTGAAGCCTGACACGACAACCACTCAAAATTAGAACACAAACATGGACGGACCAAAACAAACGTTGACAGGCAAGTGGAATATTCCAAAAAATCCAACGTTACAACTTGAAGAACAGTAAGAAGCCCACGACAAGATCGCTTCTCACTGGCAAAGACAGAGACGGCAAGACCAACAAGTTGATACAAGTTCCGGAGGGCTTAAACTCCTTGATTAAGTCGTAATTGGCAATTTGACTACCACATTAAACCAAATCAAACGACCCAAACACATAATCCAAAACGACAACTCCATCTATTTTTTAGTATATAGCTACTGAAAAACGCATATTTCGTTTTCTTGTTATAGGTTTAATCACTATTTGAGGCACTTCTTCTGTCTCCTTGCATCAGTACAACTGATGCAGATCGTCTGCCTCCTGTTTGATGCCTTTCTCGTCCTCTTTTATTTTATGCGATCACGGTTAAACCACGTCAACATTTTATATTAATTTTTTATAAAGATAATAAGATAAAAAATAATAAGAATATAAAATATTGACGTAACTTAACTGTAACGGCACGAATAAGAGAAAATGAAAAGGACACCTAAATCGGGCAGACAATCTGCCTCCCAGTACAACAAGGAATCACTTGTGGAAATGCAACGCTCAAAACTTAAAACAACAACAAAGCACTGTTAATAAAAGGGAAAATTAGACTATATACAAAAGCACCTTTTGACTTGTTCGGTTGTGATTAGGACCCACATCTTTAATTAATCAAAATCATAAGCATCAAAGCTGCTGCGTCTGAAAGCAATCCACCGTACTAGAAAATATCAAAGTTTACAATTGACAAGGAATTCAAACGAAAAATCTTTGAACAAAATCAAGTACACGTAACCTGCAGAAAATGTATTTGATTCGCGTCCCAATATCGTGGCCTTAAACACGATTAACTAAATAATAATCTTAATATATGTATATATAAAAAGTGAGAAAGTTTGAAACTTTAAATTGAAAAAAAGACCATTACCACAGAAGCTATTTTCTAAGCATGATTCGCTTTACAATTAGGCTTTGATTTTGACTAATTATACCTCATTCACCTTGTCAATTACCAAAACACCCAGATTGTTTTGTTGCCAACGAATTTTAATTTGGTAAAATCACATCGTTTTCAGAGTATTCCCCAAAAAACTGTTGCAATACATGGTGTTTCTCGTTGGTTTTTTTCCTAATTTTCAACCCAAAAGCCGCCCAACTTTTCCAAATTTACAGCAAATAAAACTAAAGCTTGTCAGAAAATGTGCACACATGCCGGGACTCGGTCGCAACCCATTTAACGAATTGTTAAACGCGGCGTTGCAGGCGGAACGAAGACGGAAGGGCCAGAAAAAGCGTGCCCAAAAAGAACCGACCCGCATAGCACAAAAAAACTGAGTCCGTATCAACAAATAATATTTCTTTATAAGAAAATTAATAAACAACTAAAAAAATTCAGATATTTGGAATTTATTATAAAGTCGACCCAAACACAAACCAATCAGACTTTCCGCTTTGCAAGAATTACGTAAACAAGAATAATCTTTCCGTGGCGCTAAAAGCTCCACCTCATATTTGTAATTTATCAAATGAAAAAAATGAAATGATGAAATAGCGAGAGATCACGTGGACGCCATGGAAGGACCAAATCAAAGAACGCGACAAAAGATCCAGACTGTTAGGCTCGGATGACCCAGATCGGACTCCGAACAACTCAATTACTTTAATAAAAAAAAATAACCCAAAGAATCAAAGGGATTATAATATTTTTTAATCTAGGCTCAAAAAATCTTAGCCGTCCATACCGGAAAGAAAAATCGATCGAACAGGAGGATCTGAATCTCAGGAGAAACGAACGGTCAAAATATTTTCGCCATTAACGGCTAGATCTAACCTATATTACGCCATTGAAGCAGAAAACGGAGCTCGAGCATACATATCTCCAATCACATTCGATCACAAAACGCGAAATGCAAGTGAAAATCTCAGAAATTCAAACCAGAAGCAAAATGTATCAGGAAAATAAAATAAGAGAGAGAAACTACCTGAAACGAGAGGCTCTTCTACCTTCTCCCTCCCTCTCTGTCTCTCTGTCTCTCTATCTCTCTCGGGGCCTCCTGTTCGATCAGGAATCTCCGGCCCTTTTGAAGTGGTTACGAGCCCTGCGGACACGACTATATAAGCTTAGGTTCTTACTGTTTCATCGGTGAACACGTGGCGGCCGATTATTGGATCCTTTTTGTTACTTTTGCTCGCTTTTCGTGACTCTATCAATGCTCTGCCTCAGGCTACTAACTGATTTTTATCTGCGATAGTGGCCGTTGATTGAGCTGAGGAAGTGAGTTTTTCCTACCACTTTCAACGGTGTAGATGGGATGTATCTACCCATGCAAAGTGAAAAATATCTAAGGAATCTGTCCACTTGGAAAACAAAATAAAATTTGACGGTTTCACGTGCGAGTGGGACCATCGTGGGGATGGTGAACTTTTTTAATCACGAAAATAACCCCCTTTGAAGTTCATGAATACGTAGCGGAAGAAGAAAATTTAAATTTTGAATGTCTTGTAACAGTGGCTTCGTGTCGTGGGCAATGCCAGCCAGCGATGAAGGTGATTTGTTTGGATGCTCTTTTCATCCAATTTTTTTTTTGTGGTCACGATTAAGTTATTTTAATTTTTTATATTAATTTTTTTTATAAAGATAATAAGACAAAAAGTAATAAAAATATAAAATATTAACGTGACTTAACCGTAACCTCACAAATAGAAATGAATGGAAAGGGCACTCAAACAGGAGCAGACAATCTGCCTCCTTCTCTTTTAACACCTACATATGAAAACAAGAATACAATAATCACAGCATCCCTGGTTCGACAACAACTTTGATGTTTGTGTACTTATTTAGTGTAAGTTATTTTTCTCTAATTCGTATTAAGCAAATGCTAGGTAAACTAACATTTTTAATTAAATTTGTAAATTATGTGATCTGTCATTCATAAGAAATAAATACGTTAATCAACATTTAAATAATAATTCAAATTAATCCTCCAACAGAAGAAATGTTAATCCGAACAGTATGAAAAGTCCAATTCATCCAACATTTTTAATTACACAACATTCAAGTTGTCCATCCCTCTCTCATTTCCTAAATGACTTGAATCGGGGACAACAGTTGTGAATACAAGCTTGCCTACAAACTCAAACCATGCAACGTTTGGTGCACATGGCTCGGCGATTCCACCTGCGCCAACTTGGCCCATTCCTCATTTCCCCTTCAACCTGGGAAGTTTCATAGTTTCCAAATTGAGGTCATACCTCCATCTCTAACTCTGCGCTCGAGCTCTTCTTTTTTACAAGACCTGCGTTTTCCTCTTCCTCTTCGCCCCTTCCTTCGGCGTGGGAAGCTTTCATAGACTCCAAATCCATGCCTCAACTCCATCACCAACTCCGCGCTCAAGCTCTTCTTTTCAACAAGGCTTGCATTTCCCTTTCTCCCACTCCAATTCCTTATTTCTCAAATGAAGGGAGGTATAAAAGTGACTTTATATTATTTCCTCCATTAGGTTCTTTTAAGAGAAAGTTTGGAGGCACAAGCCTCCCACTCTCTATCTATGACCGGCCACTTGGGTGAAGATTAGCTAGCAATCTTTCATCATCCAAGTCATTCCATTTTCTCTTCACACCTCATCCTTGGTGTGGATACTTAGAAGCTTAAAACCTTGCAACCTTTGCAGATTCTTTCCTCAAATCTTCAAGGAGCAAAGGGAAAGCAAAAGAGTAGAAATTTAAGGAGAGAATATCAACCATAAGGAAGCATCCAAGGAGCTTGGAAAGAACTTGAAGGCCCTCCACTTGGGATAACCACTTGTGAACACAAGGATGAGCTTCAAGGGTATCTCTCATTTTTTAAATTTAAAGAGCCATGATTGATTCACTGCGTTGAAAGTTATGGGTTATACAACTTTTGTTAGTACTAGCTTACTTAAAGAGTTATTATGCATGGTTGTATGCTCAAATGTTCTTAATTTACAAAAAAATTCCTTCAGATTAATGAGGGCAAATATGTTGGATTTTTAGATCGCCAAGCCCGCCCTCACTCTAACGATACCGATATTGTCCCTAACTTTACCACCTGCCCAATCAGTCAGGTGTGGGGTTTTACCACAAAATGCCTTGGTATTAGTTAGAGTAGGGTAATTCTATTTAAACCCATTGGGTTTCTTTGAACACACCGATGTGGAACATTTAACACTCCCCCTCCCATGTAATCTCATTTAGTGGTTCACATATGAAGATCCACATCGGTAATTGAAACTCAGAGGTCGGCTCCCATTGGGCCTACTTGTTTTCAATGAAACTCAGCGGTCGTCTCTATATTAAGAGTTCATACTTGTTTCCTTATGCATGACAAGCTCGTTGGCTTGCACACAAGCTCATTGGTCTGCACGGGCCCACACCGTGCCTCTGATACCATGTTAGATTTTTAGATCGCCATACCCACCCCCACTCTAAAGACACCAATATTGTCCCCAACTTTACCACATGCCCAATCCGTCAGGTATGAGGTTTTACCACGAAAGGCCTCAATATTAGGCCACCTCCAACCGAAGGAACCAGAGGGCTAAGCCAGAGGTCTCGTGGAATCTAAGAGGTCCCCACGAAATCTGAAAAGGCCAAAGGGCTGGCTGCATGCAGTTAGCCAGTTAGCTAGGGGTTAGCCAGAAAAAACATTAATCCCGTCAGTTATAATCGACAGGAATGCTTAAGCTAAAATTCAAATGCAATGGCTAGCTAACATCAGCTAGCCGTTGCATTTGATATTTTTTTTTTACAGTTTTATTATTATTTTTTATTTACAAAATTTTTCCTATAACTTCTATTTTTCATATTTTTTTTAATTCTATTTTTTTTCGTATAATTTTATTTTACAAAATTTGTTTAATATTTTTTTTAAATTCTATTTTTTTCCTATAACTTCTATTTCACAAAATTTGTTTCATTTTATTTTTAAATTCTATTTGTTCCTATAACTTCTATTTCCCAAAATTTGTTTCATATTATTTTTTAAATTATATTTTTTCTATAACTTCCTAATCCATTATACAGCATTAAATTAAATTAAGTAACATGAAACAACATTAAACAATATGAAACAACATTAAATAACATTAACCAACATACAAATTATACAACATAAAAAAAACATTAAACAACATGAAACTTAAACAACATTTTTAAAAACATTTAACAACATAAAACTTAAACGCCTACTCCATGCTTCTTTTGGCCCAAAGATGTGCAACAAGATCCTGTTGCAGGTACTTGTTTGTGGTACTGTTGACCCTAAAAACTATCAAGCCTACGTGGCGCGCAGGCCAAGTAATCTATAAGCTAACTACGTCCTTCGGTGAATGCGGGGCGTGCCAACTCGTCGGCCGAGCTCGGCCGAGGAGTAAATTTGTTGATGTTGCGTTGGGTGCGCGGCTGACTTCTGCGTCTTGCGATTGCAACCGAGGAAGGAACACGTCTCGGCTTCTTAGGTTCTCGAACCTGAAGACAAGGCTACTATTCTTACGAAGTTCAATATCAAATTCGGCTTTCAATGTACCGAATGTAATAACTTGTAACACCTCACTTCGCCGAGAATGCTAATGAGATGACCTCGACCAATTCAGAAATCCTTCTCGACCGAGACTTGGATAGGTAACCAACCGTCCTCGCCGCAGTGCTGTTGATGCCAACGGAAGATGCTGCGAGATCGGCTGATTCTGCGGTGACAGAGCTATCTATGCCGACTTAAGATATCATCGGTTGCTTTCACAGTGCTGTTGATGCCAACGGAAGATGTGTCAGCGAAAAGAGAAAATAAAAATCTCAAAGTTGTTGAGAGAGTTTGCGCAGGGCAGTTGTGTGTTAAATTGCAGGCCCCATTTGAATGGTCTGCCGCTTAGTATTTATAGAGATCTGCATGCTCAAGTCGTGGAAACCAATCCCAATTGTACTGTGACTCTAAGTCTTTATCTGTTGCTAATCCCACACCTTATCACATCAACCAAAACCTGTCGTCATCTTGAGAACCTGACCTTCCATCAAATTCGGCTTTCAAATATTTATCCTGATGCAATCTTGGCAATATTCAATGCACTTTGTTGTTTTGATTATGTAGAAAATAAAAGAATATTATTTTATTCTCTACCACATCTGATCTTTCGCATGCCCCAAGAGAGACCATCAAATGCATGCAAGCTAACATTCTGTCACATCACGTCACCAGTTCCTTATCCTATAGGCCAGTGATAAGAATCCCAACTCGAACTGTGTTGTTTGCTTCCAGATGACAAATATAGTTTGCATCCCATAACCAAGATAATTCACGTTAAAAGATAATTATTATAATAAAAATTATAATATTATCTCTTAACAATAATAAAATTATCTTCACTCTTCTATCCGACGGTTGGGAGCTATGCTCACTCAACGGCCTTGATTGCACAGGCCGATAATGTAAATTTGGGTCCACACATTGCCCCACAGTTTCCTTGAGCTTCGGCTTGTAAGCCGAATGGTTAAGGAAATTAATTTGCTCTTCGGAGTCAACGACTTCAAGCCCCTTAATAGACCACCTCGACCACCCCTCAGTCCAAATAACATTCCAATGCCAAAAAAACAATCTCAACAAAGGAAACTACTTGCTCGAAGTCGAGGTACACTCATAAAACCCGATTGTGCATATACAATTAATTTGAGCGACGAAACTACGGTTTGGCTCATGCATCTTCAAGCTTGACTGCTTGTAGAATCTAATTGCGCAGATTCTACGACCATGCACCCCTGATGATACTCACCCACCGAGCCACGCATAACAACATATATTTACCATATGCATTTCAACCACGCATGCTGTCGACTCGGCTGATTCTTCGGCTGCCACCATTTTACCCTTAACGATCCTCACGTTAGTCATTCTTGGTAAACAGTTGGCCATATATATATAGATACACTTGCCCATCAAGCTGCGAGCACTCGTCTAATAGCTCGGCCTAAAAATCCACCATAACATCGTTCTGATTCTCTCGGCCTCGGCCTAGACAGCCGAAAATTGTTTCCTCCCATAGTATGCGTCGAATGGCTCGGCCGAATAAGAGGGTGTGCCCACATGGAAGCCTACAACCTAAAATAAGTGACTTTTCATCAAACTTTTGA